TATAAAATAAAATACATACAACACACAACACACAACACACGTTTGTATAAAATAAAGAATATATAAAGCACGAGTCAATTGGAAATACACAAATATACCACAAATGTTTCATATATAAAATAAAATACACAATGAACATATGAACATTTTTATGTATATATTTTTATATTATATAATAAATAAAACACACGCAGACGAATAGGCCAAAGAAAATAAGAAACATTTACAAAGCTTTAGTCGACTGTGCACAGACAGAATATAAACTACACACAAATAAATAAACCCCACAGTGCAAACGTCACGTTAAATTAGTTTATTAACTTTTTCCTCCAGGAGAATTTTATTTTTTCATTCAGCTGATTTATTATTTTATTTTAGACAACAAAAGATTTTGATTTTACAAATCTCCAAAAAGTTTGTGATGTTTTCCATTTTAGAAATCTGCAAAAAAATCTGCAGAATTATCATTATTTTACGGGGTTTTTTTTGAGTATTTTGTGTTTTTTTGTGAATCATTTTGTGCTGAAGAGCAAAAGTAGAAATCACACAGATCCACTTCCCCTGGAGCCTCTTTTCCCCCAAACTCAACTCACTCATTTTGTTTGTTCATTTTGTTCCAGTCCTCCTCCATCTCTCCACTTCTCCATCTCTCTCTCTCTCTCTTCTGTAAAACTCTCTCCTCTCTTCCCTCGCTCTCTCTCTCCTCTTTATCTCCCTCAGTCTCTCTCTCCCTCTTCTGTAAAACTCTCCCTCTCTCCTCTTTACCTCTCTTCTTCTTCTCTCTCTCTCTCTCTTAACAGCACCCTGGTCACTCCAACATGGCCGCCGCGTGTCAGTTGCCGCGGTGATGGAGCGGTTAACGACGCCGGCTGTAAATTGGCTCAGATTGGCCCCGGTCGGAGCGCCCCCCGCGGGACACGTCCAGTTAGAGCCGTCACCGAGCGCGCGCAAACGTTTTTACCGAGAAATGAAGAAAAATGAGGCCGCTCACGCCCAGACGCGGCGCGTAACAGCTGTCGCCACGGAGACGCCCAAACAAATCAACCACACGAGAGAAAACGACGTCCAATTTCAGCCAATCCACCGACGAATAAACCCCCAGGACCAAATCAAACCAGGTGCCCTCCCCGTGTGTCAGGTGCCCTCCCCGTGTGTCAGGTGCCCTCCCGTGTGTCAGTGCCTCCCTGTGTGTCAGGTGCCCTCCCCGTGTGTCAGGTGCCCTCCCCATGTGTGTCAGGTGCCCTCCCGTGTGTCAGGTGCCCTCCCCATGTGTGTCAGGTGCCCTCCCTGTGTGTCAGGTGCCCTCCCGTGTGTCAGGTGCCCTCCCTCTGTGTGTCAGGTGCCCTCCCCGTGTGTCAGGTGCCCTCCCCGTGTGTCAGGTGCCCTCCTCTGTGTGTCAGGTGCCCTCCCCGTGTGTGTGTCAGGTGCCCTCCCATGGTGTGTCAGGTGCCCTCCCCGTGTGTCAGGTGCCCTCCCGTGTGTCAGGTGCCCTCCCCGTGTGTCAGGTGCCCTCCCCGTGTGTCAGGTGCCCTCCCCGTGTGTGTCAGGTGTCCCTCCCCGTGTGTCAGGTGCCCTCCCTCTGTGTGTCAGGTGCCCTCCCTGTGTGTGTCAGGTGCCCTCCCTCTGTGTGTCAGGTGCCCTCTCCGTGTGTCAGGTGCCCTCCCCATGTGTCAGGTCCCTCCCCGTGTGTGTCAGGTGCCCTCCCTCTGTGTGTCAGGTGCCCTCCCCATGTGTCAGGTCCCTCCCTGTGTGTGTCAGGTGCACTCCCTGTGTGTCAGGTGCCCTCTCCATGTGTGTGTCAGGTGCCCTCTCCATGTGTGTGCCAGGTGCCCTCTCCATGTGTGTGTCAGGTCCCTCCTCGTGTGTGTCAGGTGCACTCCCCGTGTGTGTGTCAGGTGCCCTCCCCATGTGTGTGTCAGGTGCCCTCCCCCATGTGTGTGTCAGGTCCCTCCTCATGTGTGTCAGGTGCCCTCCCCGTGTGTGTCAGGTGCCCTCCCCGTGTGTGTCAGGTGCCCTCCCCATGTGTGTGTCAGGTCCCTCCCCGTGTGTGTCAGGTGCCCTCCCCGTGTGTGTCAGGTGCCCTCCCCGTGTGTGTCAGGTGCCCTCCCCGTGTGTGTCAGGTGCCCTCCCCGTGTGTGTCAGGTCCCCGTGTGTCAGGTGCCCTCCCCGTGTGTGTCAGGTCCCCGTGTGTCAGGTGCCCTCCCCGTGTTCAAATTGACTCTCACATTTTCTCAGAGTTTATCTGAGTCACTCTGTTCTAGAGTTAATTTAACACTTTTGTAAAAGTTCATGAAGTAAAACTGGACCAAAGTTCCTGTTTAACCCCAAACCCAGAGTTACATGAACGTTTAGAGAGTAAACAGATAACACTTTGTAGAGTTAATCTGATTTAACTAAACAACACACAGAGGGGTTTTATTTTTACACTTTATTTGAGTTAATTTAAGATGAAATTATGAACAAAACTGGTTCAAACTGGTTCTTCTCTGGAGGGAGTTTGAAGTGGAGGAGGAGACAAATTAACACTAAGAGAAGTTGAATTAACACTAAGGGGAGTTGAATTCACTTCAACCAAATCAACTCTGGCAAATAACTCCAACTCCAACACACTTTTAACTTTCAGATAGTTAAAACACTTTTTGTGTTAAAAACAACTCTGAAATATTTGACACTGAAATTTTAACTCTCCAGGTTTTTGCTGTGTGCCGTCTTTTCTTTTTTCTCTTTTCTCAGTTTGTAGGATTCGTCGATGAATCTGTGTTAAATTCAAGTGACATAATTGGGGGAAAATTATTTAAATTGTCCCAAAAATATTTACAAAACGTGTCTGTGAACGACTCTTCTGGATTTAAAACTATCGTCATCGTTGGTGAAAATAATCGGCTCATCTCCAAATAAAATCACACTTTTTTCTAGAGTTTTAAATAAATGAAAAGAACAGAAATCCTCCAGGTTTTTCACTCCTGTTGTTTTTGTTCTTTCTTTTTCTGGACCACGACTGTCTCTGATTGGCCAATCCACCTGTCAATCATACCCCTTTGAAGTCAGAGGACTAAACCAGAACTAAACCAGGACTAAACCAGGACTAAACCAGGAACTAAACCAGAACTAAACCAGAACTAAACCAGAACTAAACCAGAACTAAACCAGGACTAAACCAGGACTAAACCAGACTAAACCAGGACTAAACCAGGTAAACCAGGACTAAACCAGGACTAAACCAGGACTAAACCAGGACTAAACCAGGACTACTAAACCAGGACTAAACCAGGACTAAACCAGGACTAAACCAGGACTAAACTAAACCAGGTAAACTAAACTAAACAGGACTAAACCAGGACTAAACCAGGACTAAACCAGGACTAAACCAGGACTAAACCAGGACTAAACCAGGACTAAACCAGGACTAAACCAGGTCTAAACCAGGTCTCAACCAGGACTAAACCAGGACTAAACCAGGACTAAACCAGGTCTAAACCAGGACTGAACCAGGACTGAACCAGGACTTAACCAGGACTAAACCAGGACTAAACCAGGACTAAACCAAAACTAAACCAGGACTAAACCAGGACTAAACCAGGTCTAAACCAGGTCTAAACCAGGACTAAACCAGGACTGAACCAGAAAACCAGGACTAAACCAGAACCAGGACTAAACCAGGACTAAACCAGGACTAAACCAGGACTAAACCAGGTCTAAACCAGGTCTCAACCAGGACTAAACCAGGACTAAACCAGGACTAAACCAGGTCTAAACCAGGACTGAACCAGGACTGAACCAGGACTTAAACCAGGACTAAACCAGGACTAAACCAGGTCTCAACCAGGACTAGGAGGTACCAGGTTCCTCGGTGTCCAGACTCATAACTTCAGAAAGTTCACCAAAACCAGATTAACACAAAAACAATCATTTCACTAAATCTGGACCAAACAAAAACAATATTTGTAATTTTTTTTTGTAATTTTAATATTTTAGTTGAAATATTAAAACTAAATAAACATTTTTTTGTCAAAATTAAGAGTGAAATGAAAATGTTTATCTGACCTCTGGGCTCTCGAGGAACTGCAGGAGGTCTGGGTCTTTGAGCAGAACCGGATGTTTCACCGTCCTCATCAGATACCTGAAAAAAACATGACACAAGAGAGTCAGATGCCCTCCCATCACCCGTCCCTGTGTCAGATGCCCTCCCATCACCCGTCCCTGTGTCAGATGCCCTCCCATCACCCGTCCCTGTGTCAGATGCCCTCCCATCACCCGTCCCTGTGTCAGATGCCCTCCCATCACCCGTCCCCTGTGTCAGATGCCCTCCCATCACCCGTCCCTGTGTCAGATGCCCTCCCATCACCCGTCCCTGTGTCAGATGCCCTCCCATCACCCGTCCCTGTGTCAGATGCCCTCCCATCACCCGTCCCTGTGTCAGATGCCCTCCCATCACCCGTCCCTGTGTCAGTCATGCCCTCCCATCACCCGTCCCTGTGTCAGATGCCCTCCCATCACCCGTCCCTGTGTCAGATGCCCTCCCATCACCCGTCCCTGTGTCAGATGCCCTCCCATCACCCGTCCCTGTGTCAGATGCCCTCCCATCACCCGTCCCTGTGTCAGATGCCCTCCCATCACCCGTCCCTGTGTCAGACTGAGATGGTCCGGGTCACATGTCTCTAGTGAATATGCAGATGTTGTGTTTCCTCTCGTTTGCCGCTCGACTTTTCTGAGTCTTTCGCTTCATTCGTGCGTCCTGGACGCTCCAGTTTGTGAATTTGGTCGTGTGAGTAAATTCGCTCTGTTCACTCCAGAAAAATCAACTGCGGCTGAGCAGTGTCCCCTGCATCTGTTTTCATTTGGAAAAATGGTGGACTTGGACTACAGACCGGGACCAGACCGGGACCAGACCGGGACCAGACCGGGACCAGACCGGGACCAGACCGGGACCACCAGACCAGACCGGGACCAGACCAGGGACTGAGACTGGGACTGAGACTGGGACTGAGACCGGGACCAGACCGGGACCAGACCAGGGACTGAGACTGGGACTGGGACTGGGACTGAGACTGGGACTGAGACCGGGACCAGACCAGGACCAGACCGGGACCAGACCAGGGACTGAGACAGGGACTGAGACCGGGACCAGACCAGGACCAGACCAGGGACTGAGACAGGGACTGGGACCAGACCGGGACCAGACCAAGACTGAGACCAGGATCAGACCAGGACCAGACACAGGTTCTGCTCTGTGGAGTTTGTTCCGTCTCTGTTCTTATTGTTGGGGAGTAACAGATTACATGTACCGGCATTACATAATCAGAGTACAAATGATGAGTAACTGTATTCAGTTACAGTTACTGTTTCAGTGAGTGGTAATTGGATTACAGTTACTTTGTTGAAATAAATGGATTACACAGAGGGATTTTCCTGTTTTCACATTTGGGGCTATATGCCTTTATTTTTCTTTTTTTTTTCCTCAGTAATTCCACTCGTTGCAAGACACTAAAACAGGTCTAAAACCAGGACTAAACCAGGTCTAAACCAGGACTAAACCAGGACTAAACCAGGTCTAAAACAGGATTTAACAGGACTGTGCCTCTTCTATCAATAATATTTTTAATACAGTTAAATAAAGACTCAGTCTTTTTATTTTCTTTTAGCCACAAAACTTCTTATGTGAAGATTTCCTCGTCTTTGTTTCTCTACAACAAATCGAATAATCCAAAGTAATCAGATTACATTACTCACTTTAAGTAATTTAGTGGATTATGTTACAAACTACATTTTGGTGTGTGTAATCTGTAATCTGTAGGGGATTACATTTGAAAAGTAAACTGTCTGTTCTGTTTAATATCGTCTCGTTTCCCTTGGGAACAGTGAGCGTCTGTCTCAGTTTTATACGTCACTGTCAGAACTCGGCCTCTGATTGGTTGATGTGACACAAATACTCGCAGAATTTCGCGAGCTCCTCCCTTTTGAGAATTCACGCGTCAACGCCAGTTTCACAAATTTGCGAAGCTCAAAACATTCAAACTGCAGGCATCGCTCCGCCCAATTCACGTCATTCACGCCGCGGAACTTTATTTGCACGTCAATGCTCCGTTACACAGAGTTAACATGTAAATCGTTCGCCTTGTTCGCACCATTCGGTTTGGTGTGAGCGCGGCTTCAAGGTGTGATGCTAACTGTAGGCACTGCTCTGTCTGTAGCTCTGTTATTTAAGTGTAGACTTTAATCTGAGTTTTATTTTAATTTATTATCTGACCAAAAAGATCTGTGCTGTTAAACAAGTCCCCCTCAATTAGGGCGACCGAACGTCCGTTTTTCCCCGGACACGTCCGTATTTTACATCCTGTCCGGGGCGTCCGGGTTTTTTTTTATAAAGTGATGCAAATGTCCGGGTTTTCAGTATCGTTCATTAAACTGATCGTCTCTCGTAGCGTCTGTGACTCAGAAGGAGCGAGACACAAACAGTGGGTCAGTCTGAAACATGCCGAAGCACAAATGCACATTTAACAATGACTTGGACAAGAAATTCTCGTTTTCCGTCCCGGTCGGGACAAGTGTGAGTCCATGTGCACAGGCTGAGGTGAGAGGACAGTGTCCCTCGTTTATCGTGGGAGTTATGTTCTAAAAATAACCTGCGACAGGTGAAATCCACGAAGTATCAACTTTATATTTTACAATTTTTATATCTGTTTTAAGGCTGTAAAACCTCAGCACAAACTTTATACACTTTTCTCCGACAGGATCGACAGGTGCAACACTTTTTACTTCCTTCTTAAAACTTATTGCTGCTGTCGTCCTTTTGTTATTTTCCTCCTTCTTTATGAAACAAACTGAAGATTCATTTATTCCATAATGGAGCCGACAGCACAGAGTCCTGCACCCGCCAGTACAGGACTGCACCTGGCAGTACAGGACTGCACCTGCGCAGTACAGGACCGCACCTGGCAGTACAGGACCGCACCTGCCCGTTAACCCGAGATTATATCAAACTTTTGCGCTGCCTACGCCCCGGACTGAACCAAGACTAAACCAGGACTGATTCCAGGACTGAAGAAGAGGACTAATCCACGACTGAACTAGGACTAAACCAGGACTAAACCAGAACTAAACCAGGACTAAACCAGGACTGAACCAGGACTGAACCAGGACTCAGTGTCAGGTCGGGCTCGGAGGTGACCACAGGAGAAAGGAGCGGCTCAGCTCCGCACCTCACGGAGGTAAACGCGGCAATTATCCGATCGCGCTTTAAGGACAAACTGCTCGGCGTTTTCTCTCTGTTAAGTCCAAGATTAGTCCTGGTTTAGACCTGGTTTAGTCCTGACCCACACGTGTGTCATTACTACCCTCCTGTAATACACAACACACGTTCATACGCTGTAAAAAAAAAACAAAAAACAAAAAAACGGTGAGAACCACCGCCTCCCCAAGGTGTCCAGGTTTTCACAAATGGAAATATGGTCACAAGCTAGTATTAGCATTAGCATGAGCGTTAGCGTTAACATTAGCGTTAGCGTTAGCATTAGCGTTAGCATTAGCCAACAGTTTTTCAGTCAGTCTCAATGTTTAGGGTAAAATCTAACTCCTAAACTGCTCTTTAAATCACTTTTGGAATTTATTATATTTTAATCTTGTAACTTTTTGCCAGTGTATGTTAATGTGTGCGTTGTTCTACCACAGAGACACATGTAGAGCCTCCCCAGCGCGACGTCACTGCGCAGGATCAACGGAAATGATCAGGGAAAAAACACGAGTGGATTTTTGCAGATTTCTTCCTCATAAACCCCGAGCGTCTTCGTCCTCCTCGTCCTCCTCCTCGTCTTCCTCGCGTCCGTCCGTCCGGTGAAATGTCAGCCGTGTAAACAAACCCAAACACGTGTCCCGATAATGATCAGATCCAGATTTCCACCGCGACCTTTGCTCCCAGACGTGACCTTTTCCACAAACAAGATTTACAAACGCAAAACCGTTTTTACCGAGAAAACGCCAAAACCAAGAAGAAGAAAGAACGAGAGCGCAGCCAATCAGAGCGGCTGTCAACAAGTCCTGGTCAGACCTGGTTCAGACCTGGTTTAGATCTTGTTTAGTCCTGGTTTAGTCCAGGTTTAATCCTGGTTTAGTCCTGGTTTAGACCTGGTTTAGACCTGGTTTAGTCCTGGTTCAGTCCTGGTTTAGTCCTGGTTTAGATCTTGTTTAGTCCTGGTTCAGTTCTGGTTTAGACCTGGTTTAGTCCTGGTTTAGTCCTGGTTTAGTTCTGGTTTAGTTCTGGTTCAGTCCTGATATAGTCCTGGTTCAGTCCTGGTTTAGTCCTGGTTTAGTCCTGGTTCAGTCCTGGTTCAGTCCTGGTTTAGTCCTGGTTTAGTCCTGGTTTAGTCCTGGTTTAGTCCTGGTTTAGTTCTGGTTTAGTTCCTGGTTCAGTCCTGGTATAGTCCTGGTTTAGTCCTGGTTCCTGGTTCAGTCCTGGTTTAGTCCTGGTTTAGTCCTGGTTTAGTCCTGGTTTAAGTCTTGGTTTAGTCCTGGTTTAGTCCTGGTTTAGTCCTGGTTTAGTCCTGGTTTTTAGTTCTGGTTTAGTCCTGGTTTCCTGGTTAGTCCTGGTTTAGTCCTGGTTTAGTCCTGGTTCAGTCCTGGTTCAGTCTGGTTTAGTCCTGGTTCAGTCCTGGTTTAGTCCTGGTTTAGTCCTGGTTTAGTCCTGGTTTAGTCCTGGTTTGGTTTTAGTCCTGGTTTAGTTCCTGGTTTAGTCCTGGTTTAGTCCTGGTTTAGACCTGGTTTTAGTCCTGGTTTAGTCCTGGTTTAGTCCTGGTTTAGTCCTGGTTTAGTCCTGGTTTAGTTTAGTCTGGTTTAGTCCTGGTTTAGTCCTGGTTTAGTCCTGGTTTAGTCCTGGTTTAGTCCTGGTTTAGTCCTGGTTTAGTCCTGGTTTAGTCCTGGTTTAGTCCTGGTTTAGTCCTGGTTCTGGTTTAGTCCTGGTTTAGTCCTGGTTTAGTCCTGGTTTAGTCCTGGTTTAGTCCTGGTTTAGTCCTGGTTTAGTCCTGGTTTAGTCCTGGTTTAGTCCTGGTTTAGTCCTGGTTTAGTCCTGGTTTAGTCCTGGTTTAGTCCTGGTTTAGTCCTGGTTTCCTGGTTTAGTCCTGGTTTAGTCCTGGTTTAGTCCTGGTTTCCAGTCCTGGTTTAGTCCTGGTTTAGTCCTGGTTTAGTCCTGGTTCAGTCCTGGTTTAGTCCTGGTTTAGTCCTGGTTTAGTCCTGGTTTAGTCTGGTTTAGTTCTGGTTTAGTCCTGTCCTGGTTTAAGTCCTGGTTTAGTCCTGGTTTAGTCCTGGTTTTAGTCCTGGTTTAGTCCTGGTTTAGTCCTGGTTTAGTCCTGGTTTAGTCCTGGTTTAGTCCTGGTTTAGTCCTGGTTTAGTCCTGGTTTAGTCCTGGTTTAGTCCTGGTTTAGTCCTGGTTTAGTCCTGGTTTAGTCCTGGTTTAGTCCTGGTTTAGTCCTGGTTTAGTCCTGGTTTAGTCCTGGTTTAGTCCTGGTTTAGTCCTGGTTTAGTCCTGGTTTAGTCCTGGTTTAGTCCTGGTTTAGTCCTGGTTTAGTCCTGGTTTAGTCCTGGTTTAGTCCTGGTTTAGTCCTGGTTTAGTCCTGGTTTAGTCCTGGTTTAGTCCTGGTTAGTCCTGGTTTAGTCCTGGTTTAGTCCTGGTTTAGTCCTGGTTTAGTCCTGGTTTAGTCCTGGTTTAGTCCTGGTTTAGTCCTGGTTTAGTTCCTGGTTTAGTCCTGGTTTAGTCCTGGTTTAGTCCTGGTTTAGTCCTGGTTTAGTCCTGGTTTAGTTCTGGTTTGTACCTCTCTAAAGCGCAGCGTCTTTTCTCCACAAAATCGTTGGACGACTGATCTTCTTTTCCCACTTTCACTTTGGTCATTCCTGAAACACAAACACAAACACTGAGTCCTGACGAGCGCTTGTGCCCTTGAGCAAGACACTCACCGCACCGTACTGTAAATGTGTGTGTAAATGTGTTTTACATTTACACACACATTTAAACAGAAAAAACATGAAGTGGAAGTTCCTCAGACCCACAGCGGGACACTTCAGCTTCAGCTTCGCTTACCCACGATGCTCTTCTCCGGCGCGGGCGGCACGATGTAGCCGATGTGCAGATATTTCGAGGCCAGTTTACTGTGGAGCCCGAGGAAATCACTGAAGCGCCGTTTGACCGAGAAGTCCCTCAGTTTGAACAGAGACAGAGACGTCTGAGGACACAGAGACGGAGGTGTTTAAATTCACACGTCTGAGCTGATGTTTGTATCTGTAAAAACATCTGATCAGGTTCAAGAACATCTGAATCATCGGAGTTTGATGAAGTTCTCTTGATGTTCACTGGGTCCACCAAGCCTCTGGAGTTTAGTGTCTGCAGAAGTCTGAAGTTTTTCTTCAATAACATCAAAAATAATTAATTTATCCCAACAGCATCAATGGAAGTTGAATAAAAATCTGGACATTGTGAATCATTTGGTAACAGTTTTATGTCTCTGTTATTAGTTTCTGCGATATGGCAAAAGTGTCATTTCTTTTTGACTTCAAGGACCTTGAATAAGCAATTATTATTTAAAAATATAAGGTTTTATAAATAATAATTAAAAATAAAATACATAAATTATTATTATTATTATTATTATATATATTTTTTAGTTATTTGAGAAAAACAGATTTTTCTGCCAGAGCTTTATGGACACTGTTAGGATGGACCCAGTAGATTTTATTCAACTGAGTAAATATTCCACAGATTTTCTTTTATTTGGTTTTGTCACATTTTAAAATTGGGCACAAGTTGAATTTCTGACACCAGGGCAAACGATGCAGCCTAATGTGCACCTAAACAAAACTGTGACTCTGAGGCGACGATGAAGTCAGTCAAGTTCAAAACCTTGGCCTCGTTCTGGAAGAAAATGTCAAACTCATCAGTCACACAAAATACTAAATAGTGAAGAAGATTTAAACTAGTCTCAGGTGCTTTTGTTTAAGTAAAAATATAATGCTCCAGATTTTAAAACTCTTCATGAACACAAAGATCTTCTCACATCACCTCATGGTCCCAGACGTCCTCAAACTGAAACCTCTGATCATTTTACAAACTCTGACTCTTCAGGTACAAAAAGTCCAGACTCTGTCAACACTGAGTGTGTCACATGCACATCAGTGTCCCGGGTGTGTCAGTGTTCAGGTTACTGTGTTTACATGAGCACTGAGAAACCAGGACACTCATATCCACGTGTACATGATCAAATGGAGTGTCCCGGTTTCTTGACATAATCTTACAAATGCACAAGTGCTACGAGATTTCCCACAATCCACTGCACACATCAAACCAACAGATTCTTCATTCAAATCTTCTGCATAAATAAACTCAACTTTACAACATATAAACCATAAACACTATAGACACATCAGCCCGTTTGATCAGATCATTCAGCTCTGATCACATTTGTTTACGTTTTACAGAAACGAAACTTAAGACCGTTTGGCTAATTAGCATAAACTGTTAGTGGTGATAAAAACAGCTGCTCCTTGTGTCGCTGATGTGATTCAGTTTCTTTTGGACTAAATGACTCGACTCTGTGGATTATGTGAGTTATTTCTGTGACAGAAGAGGTGCTGATGATGGTGAGTCTGTTCTGTCTGTGTGTTGTACAGGAGATAGTTCATGTCTTATCTTTTCAGTGATCACACGAGTGCAGGTCGCACGAGTGCAGGTCGCACGAGTGCAGGTCGCACGAGTGCAGGTCGCACGAGTGCAGGTCGCACGAGTGCAGGTCGTACATGTGCAGGTCGCACGAGTGCAGGTCGCACGAGTGCAGGTCGTACATGTGCAGGTCGTACATGTGCAGGTTTAGCGCAGCTCTTTATTTTACAGTCATTTCACTCGTTTGGTCACTTTATTTATGTTGGTCACTTTATTTATGTTGGTCAATTTATTTATGTCTCTACTGTTGTGGTGAAAGGCTGGAAAGTGTCTTTTGGACACATGTGACTCAACTTTATGTTGCAGTAACCGGGAAACTGCGTTTACATGTCACAGTATCACAGTTACTATCAGAATAAACCAGCTACAGTAACTCAGTTTCTAAGAACCAGGACACTGAAACCAGGTTACTGTGTTTACATGAACCATGAAGAAACCGGGAAACTCAAAAAACCCGATCATAACCGGGTTATTGATGTGCTGTAAACACACTCACTGTGACAAATTTTAAACAAACAGAACTTGCTGCACTTTATGTTTTAAGTGTCTTAATTCTGATGTACGACTGAATTCTAGATTTGTCAGGAGCATAAACGCACAGATCTTGTACGGACGAGTTCCTCGTGGTTCTGGTGTCGTCCCTCAGGAGCCAAAGGCCCAGACTGTGGAAGTTTCACCAGCCGATTTAAAACAGCAACACATTTTAAAGTAAATATAAATTATTGTTTGTTTCCAACCAAAAACGTTCTCACTGTGGTTTATTTCTTTTTTTCTTGTCGAGGGGGCGGGGCTTACCTTCGTGGTGACCTTGTACGCCATGAACGCATTCATCCCGTCGCCTGGACAACCATAAAAAAATAAAATTTAAATAAAATTAATTATGCGAAAAACTCAGAAAAGTGAATTTTTAAAAACATTTTGGACTGACCGACTTTCTCTGGGTCTGACACCGAGATGAGGATGTCCAGAGAATCTCCAGCCTCCTCCTCCTCGATCTGACACAACACAAAGAAAGTACTTTTACAAACACTACTAGTACTAGTACTACTACTGCACAACAGATAGTACTTTTACACATGCTACTACTACTCCTACTTCTACTAGCACCATTGTTACCTGTGTACATCTTGTTTGTACTTTGTCGAAGCTGGAGTGAAGTATTTTTAGTGGTTGTGACGAGTGAATGAACATAATAGTAGTATCTGTAGTAGTAGTATCTGTAGTAGTAGTATCTGTAGTAGTAGTATCTGTAGTAGTAGTAGTAGTATTTTGTTACCTTGTCGAAGGAGGAGTGCGTGAACATAGTCGCAGTAGTAGTATTTGTCGTAGTATTTGTAGTATGAGTACTGTGATACCTCGTCAAAGGAGGAGTGTGTGAACATAGTTGAAGTAGTAGTACTTGTAGTAGTAGTATTTGTAGTACTGTGTTACCTCGTCGAAGGAGGAGTGGGTGAACATAGTTCCAGTAGTAGTTTTTGTAGTATTTGCAGTAGTGTTTTGTAGTATTTGTAGTAGTATTTTGTAGTAGTATGTTACCTCGTGGAAGGAGAAGTGCGTGAACATACCAGTAGTAGTATTTGTAGTATTTGTAGTATTTGCAGTACTGTGATACCTCGTCGAAGGAGGAGTGGGTGAACATGTCGGGGGCGAGTCTCGGGGGCAGGACGGAGCTCGGGGGGGACAGAGGAGTCAGAGCCGGAGACGGACCATCAGACAGAAGAACATCTCTCTCCGGACTGTCCAGAGAAACCTCCTCTGTCGCTTCAACACAAACGACCAGAGAGAAAAAGAAAGAGAGAAAGAAAGAGAGAGAGAAAGAAAGAGAGAGAAAGAGAGAGAGAGAGAAAGAGAGAGAAGAAAAGAAAGAAAGAAAGAGAGAGAAAGAAAGAGAGAAGAAGAGAAAAAGAAGAGAGAGAAAGAAAGAAAGAAAGAAAGAGAGAGAGAAGAGAGAGAGAAAGAAAGAAAGAAAGAAAGAGAGAAAGAGAGAGAAGAGACTTTAGAATAAACCTGCTTTGACCTTCGTCCTTCAGAGTGTCTGTGTCTGTGTCACACTTCAGGAGCACAGAGACCAGGTCTTGTCTGGGTCTGGTCTTGAGTCTGGTCTTGGGTCTTGGGTCTGGGTCTGGACTGGGTCTGGTCTTGAGTCTGGTCTTGGGTCTGGTCTTGAGACTGGGTCTGGTCTTGGGTCTAGTCTTGGGTCTGGTCTTGAGTCTGGTCTTGAGTCTGGTCTTGGAGACTGGGTCTGGTCTTGGGTCTAGTCTTGGGTCTGGTCTTGAGTCTGGTCTTGTCTTGGGTCTGGTCTTGAGTCTGGTCTTGAGTCTGGTCTTGAGACTGGGTCTGGTCTTGGGTCTGGTCTTGGGGTCTAGTCTTGGGTCTGGTCTTGAGTCTGGTCTTGTCTTGGGTCTGGTCTTGGGTCTGGAGGGCATCTGGTGTAAAGTTTTACCGGCGAACAGGTCGTCGGGGTCGTCCTCAAACATGGAGCTCTGTCGGGGTCCGTTTGTGTTCTGCTCCTGAAGAAAAAACACACAAGAAAACACAAACAGGAAGTAAACAGGAAGTAAACAGCAAAGACATGTGCTCCCGTCACTGCCCAATCTGCGTCGGTCATGCTAGTGCCCGTTAGCCTCACTTTATTTTCATTATTTTTTCAGATGTTCAAATGTTCGGTCAGTGGAAACGTTATTGGTTCATTATTTACTCGTCTCCGTGGAAATGGTAATACTTGGTCTAGAATGTTCCTCTGTACAGATTAAACCTCACATAAACGTTACAGGTCAGGTCTGTGGAGAGGAACTGCAACAGAAACACATGTGATGAACAGTGTTGGGAATAACGAGTTATAAACGTAACATGACTGTGCTGTGTTGTTTTTTTCTGTAACGCAGTAATGTGGCGTTACAAAGCTTTTTTAACCTGGACTGAAGTGGTGGGTTTTTTGTTTTTCTTCATATAAATTCACTAAAATCACGGCGACATCAACAGCGGTGAAACGACGGAGACGCGCCCACGTAGACCGTCAGGTGACCACGGGTGAAAGAACCCACAGCGAAATGCAGCCGACGCCCGATCGAGCCTTACAGACACTCTGCTCCACGGACTCGGGTTCACTCAGGAACGGTCCTAATTCTAGTCCAAGAATTCCAAATTCTAGTCCAAGAATAGTCCTGGTTTAGTCCTGGTTTAGACCTACTTCAGACTTAGTTTAGACCTGGTTTAGTCCTTGGTTCAGTCCTGGTTCAGTCCTGGTTCAGTTCAGTCCTGGTTTACACCTCGTTTAGACCTCGTTTAGCCCTGGTTTAGTC